AACTTTCTCCCCTCTCTCTCTCCCTCTCCCTCTCCCTCTCCCTCCCTCCTCCTCTTTTGATCGAAACCTTCTCCCCTCCCTCTCCCCCTCTCTGTCTCTCTCTTTCGATTGCCTTTTTTTCGTCATTTCATTTCAAAATCTCTCTCTCTCTCCCTCGCCCTCCCTCCCCCTTCCTCTCTTCTTTTCCTCTCTCTCATGCTGGTCTCCTTTTTTGTTTTTTGTGTTGTTTCATTCCTCCAGCGTGGAAAAAACGGAGCGCAGTTGCCTGCGCCTCGCAATCTGGAAACAGTTTTTCGCAAAGGCCTTTTTTTCGTTTCACTCGTTTTGTTTTTGTCATTTCTCCTCTCTTTTTCCAAGGTATTTGTTTTGTCTCACCAGTTTTATTTCTGCCTCGATTTTATGGTTCGGATAGATCGAAACTTTCTCCTCTCTCACTCTCTCTCTCTCTCTCCTCTCTCACTCTCTCTCTCTCTCTCCTCTCTCCCTCTCTCACTCTCTCTCATGTTGGTCTTGATTTGCGGTCAATTTTACCTTTGTTTTTGTCATTTATCCCCCTCCCTTTGTTTTTGTTGGTCGTTACATTCCCTTTGCTCGAAAAAACGGAGCGCAGTTTTTTTCAAGGGTCTTTTTTTCGTTTCACTCGTTTTGTTTCACTCGCCTCGTCGTTGTCATTTCTCCTCTCTTTTTTCGAGGTATTTTTTCTGTCTCACTAGTTTTATATTGTTGTTGATTTCTTTCCCCTCGTCTGCCTCGATTTAATGGTCCGGAGATATCGAAACTTTCTCCTCTCTCACTGTCTCTCTCCCGCTCTCTCTCTCTTTCGAATGCCTTTTTTTTTTTTGTCATTTCATTTCTCTCTCTCTCTCCCTCTCCCTCCCTCCCCCTCTCTCTATTCGTTTCATCTCTCTCATGGTGGTCTTGATTTGCGGTCGACAGCCAGTTTTTCTGGAAGACCTTTTTTTTTTGTGTGTTGTTTCATTCCTTTTGCGTGACGAAACGCAGCGCAGTTGCCTCCGCCTTGCGATCGAAGAACAGTTATTTCCAAAGGGTTGTTTTTGTTTC